GCCCAGCTCCTGCCCTGCCCTGGCTCCCTCCCTCCCCTGAAACCCAGTCCCAGCCTGCACTGGACAGCGTCCTCTGCACTCTGCCCTCCTGGAGCCCGAGGTTTCTACGCTGCCACTGGCAAGGGTCTGGGTGCAGCAGCTGCATCATCCCAGGGAGTGGGGGACCGTGGAGCGGGAGCCGGCCTCTGTCTGGGGAGACAGCTTGAATGTGCACACAGAGGGGACCTGGAGCGGTGGAAGGAGCCAAGCCCCCCCGCCGTAGACCTGGAGACTCATTGCCAGGGAGCCAGGTGGCCCCAGGGACGATACACATGTGTAGTTAGTGAGTCTGCAAGAGGGCACACAGTGGACTTGTGTGTATGTGCGTGTGTGCATTTGTGTGTGGACATGTGGCTGTGTGTGGTGTGTATATGTGTGTGCCTGTGTCTACATGTGTGAATGGCGTATGTGTGTGTGATGGAGAGCATGGTGTGGGATGGAAGATGGGGCTGAGTGGTACCTTGGAGAAGTGTTTCCAGCTGGAGAAAGAGCACTGCTGGCCCAGGGCCTGGCTGGGCTGGGTCTCGGGGGCTGTGGGGTCCTACAGAGGCTCGAGATCAGTGAGACTCTAGATCCAGTCTGGACAAACCCCCTCTGATTTGCACTCCTGTGCCCCCTTTCCATCCTAGGCAGGGGCTCCCTGGCTCCCTTCTCCAGCCACGTCCTAAGCACCTGCTCCTGCCGGCCCAGGGACAGGCACTGCGGACATAAACATGCATGAGACCCTGTGCCCTTTACCCAGCGTGCCCTTTACCTGTTGTGTGCTCAGGACCCCCCAGGTTAGCCCATGTGGATGGGCAATGACGTTTGTTTGCCAGAGCCCAGGTTTCAGTCACCATCACTCACACTATCTCGGGAAACTTTGTCAACCCCACGGACGCCCCTTCCCCTCCCTGAGAGCTATTGCAACATTGGGACCAGAGGAGAGGCCTCCTCACCCGTGCCCGGGTGAAAGGGAGTTGTGAAATGTGTGCTTGAAAGGACCCTTTGTCCCCAGGACATGGTGGCCCGGCACTGTGCCTCTGGCCGCCTCCAGCAGGAAGTGGGCTGGGGTGGGTGAGCCCAGCTCCTGCCGGCAAACAAAAGGTGTTGTGTGCTTAGGGCCGGCCCGCTGGTGCCCTCGGGAGGGCCAGGCCCAGGGATGGGGCAGGCCTGCTGCCTCCTTGTCCCTTTGTTCTGCAAATGCTGAGAGCAGGCAAGCCCACAAAGTGACCTGCATGCATCTACATGCGTGTTTACATGAGAGTGCACATGTGGGTGCATGTGAGGATACATATCTCTGTGTGTGCTTGCACATATGTGTGCATGTGCGTGCTGCGCCTGTAGATACGTGTTTGCGCACATGCATTTACATGGGCATGTGTGTGCCTATGTGCGTGCCTGCATGCCTCTGTGTGTGTGGTGTGTGGTGTATACATGTGGGTGATGTGTACGTGTGTCTGGGGGGCACATATGTGTGTGGTGTGTGGTGTATACATGTGGGTGATGTGTACGTGTGTCTGGGGGGTACGTATGTGTGTGGTGTGTGGCCAGGCATCACGGCTACAGCATAGGTGAGGCTGGAGCCCCCTTCACCAGCCTAAGGCTCCAGGTGCCCTGCCCTCCTTCCTTCTCTTTCTGACCCTGAGTGCCACTGCATGTTACTACATCATGGCTGGCAGGGATGAGGGTCCTCTCCGTAGAGGGACAGTGGGCTGGGGCCTGGCGCTGGAGCATGCGTGTGTCCCGGATACTGAAGGCTGACACACGGCCCCAGATCCCTCCCCTGTCCTCAGCCCCACAGTCCCAGTGAGCTCCGGTGGTTCCATCCTAGTGAGCTCCGGTGGTTCCATCCTAGCCTGACTGAGAGGGCCCCAGCAACATAGCCTGTGGGTGCTGCCAGCCGAGCCCTGTGCCAGGGGGGTGCTTCTGCCCGTGCTGTCTCCACCCTCAGCGTCCTTCTCCTGGGACTTCCCAGCCCAGAGCACGAGCTTCAGGGTGGGTACAAGGTCCCAGCTGAGCTTGGCAGTGAAGGATTTGAGCCCAGGCCACCTCCTGTCCACCCTCTCACAGCCTGCCCTGCAGGCAGGTCAGGACCTGCCCTCAGATGCCACCCACACTGCCCTGGTTTTCTGGTCTGTGCCAGCCCCACTCCTGATGGCCCAGGTCCTGCCTTGTGCTGTAGAGAGGGCCAAACCTGGCCCGGGCAGACGCGGAAACGTCTTCCTGTTGCAGTTGAAGGGCTCACTTCACCTGAGACAGCCCAGTCTGGCTGTTAGGGCAGAACAGGACAGGCACTGGGACTTTCTGAGGCCCCGTTCAGCTCAGGATGAGAGCAGGAGCCACACCGCACTGAAGGCCACCCTGGGCGCTGTGGTGTGGGATGGATGGGAGCACACATGGGGATTTCTTTTAAGCCACACCGGAGCCTCTTCCTTTCATGTCCTTCAGTGTTGGTACCAGGTACACACACACACACACACACACCCCTTACTGTAATTTGTCCAGCTCTTTTCCCAGGCATTGCAAGGGGATTTCTGCTATTGGGGCGTGTCTGTTTCATCCTGTAGCTTCCTCGTGGGTTTAAGGTTCGTGTTCATGGGTGTCTGAGATTTTTCTACCATATTTACTGTCACCCAAAACTATGCATCCGGGATGGGAGATGCAGCTGCTGGCGGCTTTCTGCAGGAATAAGGAACAGACAAGAAAAGAGGCCCTGGGAAGACACATGACAGATTCCAGACCTCCCAGACCTGCCTCCCCTGCGATGACCCCAGGGCCCGCGCCCCCGTGGGTTGAGGAGTGAGCTGTCCCTCAGGACCCTGTCCTCTGCTGCCCACTGCTCCTACAGGGACAGCCACTGCCTGCAGGCCAGAGGCATAATTGGCTGGCCCTGTGCAAAATGAAATGCAGGGCCCTTGTTAAAAATTATTCAGAATTTCAAGACATGGGAACTGCAGAGCATTGTCCAAGCAGTGGCCCTCCTGCACCTGGGGCCGTGCGCAGCCGTCTGTTTGCATAGCCATGAAGCCAGCCGGCCACATGTCGGGAGACCGTGTGTTAGCACACATGTGCACACATGTGCATTTGCAGAACGGTTTAGATAGTAGTCATTTCCCTCCTGTGGTGAGGAATCTCCGAAACTTTTTCAAGTTTTCAAGTAAACAAGTATCCTGGGGAACTACAGTTCTGGTTTATGCAAATTGAGTCCTGTGCTTTATTTAAAACAAGGAAACGAGGTGACGTGGAAGAGAAAACCCAGGAGAGGGGGAGTCAAGGGTTCTGGAGCGTCGTGAGAGGGACCGGGGCTTCAGGCAGGAGGTGGGGGCTGGGGGCCATGGGGGCCAGTCTTGCCCTGGGCCTGGGTGTCTGTGCAGCCTGGGCCTGGTGTGGGTGACAGAGAATCCTTCCCCGCTCTGCAAGGCTGGCAGCTGGGGCAGCCCAGACCCTGGATTCTCTGCATCCTGGGGCCGCTGGACCCATCAAACATTGAGCCCCAGGAAGGAGGGACCCAAAAGGAAAGCAGGAAGGGGCTTCATAGGTAAATTGCCCGCATCCAACAAGATGAGTTCCAAGCCTCTGCTCAGAACAGTGAGGAGCCCCAGGAACTGTGAGTGGGCGAGGAAGGGGCGGAGAAGGCCAACCCTGGCTCTCCCAGCACTGGCACGAAGTGAGTCACGTGCAGTCCAACCACCTTGCACGTAGCGTGGGGTGCGTGGCGTTCACCAGCGAGTGCAGTGGGAATATGTGACGGCTTCATCCATTCTCCTAGAGCCTTGGACCCAAACTTTCAAACTTCTTTTTCGTGTAAGATGCAAAATTCTCCCTGATCTCCAGCCATGGGGTTAAGGTTGGTGTAGAATCCTGTGTATATAAAGGTACATGTTTATAACTTAACCTTGAACCAAAATACTGCCTGGCAGGTGTTTGGTGTCTGATCTGCATGCCTGTGTTTTTCAGCAGGATGGCAACCCCTGTTTGTAGGTCCAGTTTATATAAAAGTAATTACGTGTGCATTAGGAAGGACCTATTTTTCCCCAGTTTGAGAAATGACTAATCGTTCTTTTGAGATTCCTGCAGCGAAGGTTATGTTAATACAATATCAGCTTTTACTCGGCCGTGAAGTCCTTGTTTCTCAGGCTTTCTGGTAGAGAGTAATCTCCAGTCTGCCTAACCCTACAGCCACAAAATGGGGTGGCTTTCCAGGGAAGAGAGAAAATGCAATTCTCTGTGGCATGGAAGGAGTTGATGTGGGTTTCAGAGTCCTTGTGCTGGTGGGGGGCCAGTGCCCCCATCCGCCGGGCCCTCCCCTGCCCCCTGCCCTGTCCAGGGGTCATGACAAGACTCATCCTTTCCTCCTGGAGCCTTGTCATGGCTGGTCACATCCTTTCACCTTGGAGCCTTGACATGGCTGCTGCTGGGCCAGCCCCAGGGGTCCGCCGGGCGTCTGCAGATGGGGGCCAGGGGCTGCTGTAAAATCCTCCAGTCAAGGATGGGGCATCGACTCCCCACCTCCTGCCTGGCCTCACACTCTGACTCCAAGTCTGGGGACCCCCTTGGTTCTCACCCTGTGCACAGGCCCGCCCCCGCTACATCTGAGGACGTCCTGACTGGGAACCCCCTCCTCCTGCCTTTCCCTGCTCTCTAGTGGATTCCAGACGAGAGAGAGTGAGGCAGCCACGCTGCAGGAGGGGCCACGGCTCTGCTCCACGGACGTGTCTCCAGCTCTCTTGGTCACTGCTTACTGCTCCACGACTGGCCAATGGCAGAGCAGGACCTGGGGAGCAAGCACTAAACCAGGAGACCAGGAAGCTGGCGAAGCCCCTGGGCCCGGTGTCCCTGCCTGAGGGTCCCCGGGTGGAGCCATACCGGGCATTGCCTGAGGGCCCTCCCAGCCAGTGTCAGGACCCAGGTCCCCTCGGCAACACCGTCGCGATCCACGAGAGCAGCACGCTGACTTGCCTCCCTCTTTTCTCCCGCAGCAAGAATTATCAAGACCAAGCAGTGGTGTGACATGCTTCCGTGTCTGGAGGGGGAAGGCTGCGACTTGCTAATCAACCGGTCAGGCTGGACGTGCACGCAGCCCGGCGGGAGGATAAAGACCACTACGGTACGTGGCCCTTGGCTTTCTCGTGTGTGTGCTGGGGAGGGGGCATGTGCGGGCCTCCGACGCCACCCTGGCTCCGAGGGGACGGGTGGCAGCTGCTCACCTTGTCCTCGTGCAGAGAAGCCAGGACCCCACCTCCCTCTCTGGGGCTGAATTCCTGACCATCTGTCCTGGGGCGGAGGGTCCATGAGTACATGGGGGCTGAGAGCTGGATAAAGAACCACCTGCAAGGCTGGTCAGCCCAGAACTCAGATCACAGACCAGGCCCCGAAATCCATTGGTTAGAGCCATCTTGTTTCCGGGACTGATGTGCCCGTGACTCCCGGCTGGAGGAGGCGTCCGCCCCTCCTGAGGATGAACTTCAGATAACTCCCCCAGGGAACAGGGAGCTTCTGCAGAGACGGAGCCGGGTGCGGGTTCCGTCCAGGTGTGCTCCTTCCGTCCCTGGGCCTGGCCTAGTGGCTGCTCACACCAGAGACCCGGAGGGCCCTTCAGCTCCTCTTTGTCCCACAGAGTGGGGCATGCAGCGCCCCGCCCTCCCGAAGCGACAGCCGACCTGGGTCTCTAGAGCTGCTCTTCCCAAGGGCAGAAGCGTGGGGAACGCGGGGTGGCCCTGGGCCTTTTCCGAAGGCAGCTCCTCCAGGCATGCCACGGATTCTGAGGCAGTTTCCCCTGCAGAGGGGCAGAGGAGGCGGGCAGAGGAGGGGAGCCCACGTGCATGGGGCTTGGGCCATTCATGTGTGGGGTGGCCTCGACTTCTCACTGGCGAGTGGTACCCCCTTATCCTGGCTCCTCCTGCTTTGAAGTTGGCATTGGAAGCTGAGGACATGAGTGGGTGAGGGTTTCCCTAACATGGATCTGGGCTCCGTGCTCTGAGAATGTTAAGTCAGGGAGATCTGTGGCTGGGCAGAAGGATCCGGAAAGCCCCTGGCATCCGAGCCCCCTCCAAGGATTGCACGGAGAGAGGGGGCTGCAGCCCCTCACACTGGGCTGCAGGGAAATCCTTCCTCTTGCTGCCTGAGCGGCCTCCAAGCGAGGGCTCGGCTGGGCTGTTCCAGCACTCGGTTCAAGAGGCCGATTTGGTGGAGTTGCTCCAAGGAGAACCACAGATCCCTGGGGTTCTAACACAATTCGGGGCTGTCAGGGTCGTCTTCTGGGAGTCGCACAGCTTTCTGCTGCAGCCAGGATGTCAGTGAGATGGGCAAGGCAGCACGCCAGTCCCCCCATGGGTTTCTCAGGGGCCTCTTGCATTTGTGGAAGTTCATGCAGACTCAGCCTCGCTGGTGGCCCAGGGCCCCCTGGGAGTGCCTGCCTGGAATGTGGGCCTGCAGGAGGAGTGTGAGGCCGGGCACCGGTGCCACCCTGAGGCATGCGGACAGGACAGGAGATGAGGGGTGTGGGTTGGTCTAAGCTGAGGTCCTGGGCTTGCCTGGTCAGGGTTTGTTTATCTGGCATTCAGTGCAGAAGCTGATGATTCCGTCCTGCACCCGTGAAATGCACAGTGCTCTACCATTTCCTACTGCTACCTGCCTGCAGAGGAGGCCTAGGCCCTCCTCTGTCCCTGCTCGTTGGGGTTCCCAGGCCTACGCTACCTCCCCGAATCTCCAGCAACACAAACAGCAGGTGCATTCCATCCGTCTGTGGACCCCGGTCAGGCGCAGCCTTTCACATCCTTCATAGAAGCTTCAACATAAGCAGCCGCCTCGCCCCGAATTTTGGAGGGATGGGTGTGAGAGCCACTCTGGGTCCCAGCTGCCAGTGACCCATCACTTCCCAGTCACGCTTTGATGAGCCCCTCCTCCTTGTGATTCGAGGCCCACGAGGCGCCCAGGCCAAGCGTTCAGGCCACACCCCTTCAGGAACAAACTCGGATGCACCTCTGTGAGTTGACTGCTCAGTTCACCGGGGTGGGAAGTCAGGGAGTCCACAGACCCCGTGAGAGCTGGCGGTGGATAAAGGTGTCGTCACTTCGACGCGGGCAGCCCTGCTGAGCCAGTGACAGGGCTGGAACCCGCCCAGCCCTTCCGGAGGCATCGAAGTGCTTGGCAGGAACAGGATTGGGTCCTTACTTGGAGGCTGCTGGCATCGTCACATTTTGGTTTTTGGTAATTTATTGTGGTGAAATTCACATAACATAAAGTCCATTTTAAAGCGAGCAGCTCAGTGGCATTGGACACACAGTGCTGTGCCACCACCCCTCTACCTGCTTCGGAGCGTTTGCATCCCCCTGGAGGGATGCCCTTCGCCCACCGGGCAGCATTGGAGTCTTCAGATCTGCATGAAGGCTTCTCCTGGTGCAGCTCTGCAGCCACTTCTGCCCAGGGTCACCGTGGCAGACCTTCTGGCCCTAATAAGGGCAGCGCTAATTAAAGTGATCAGTGAAGCCCCCCGCACGCAGGGCGCACGCTGGTAAGTGAGGGACACAGATGTGGCCTGTCCCCAGCTTGTCAGGCTGCCCGGAGAACGCCTTGTCAGACAGCTTCATGGTATCTTCCTTTCTTCACTGTTGGCCCAAACCCTGGACCCAGCCCTCCCTGCCTCCTGCATTCACCCAGAATGCATGTCTTCTCCTCTCTCCTCCTCCCGTTTAGTTCTTCAGTGCCTGAGTCATTCTCATGAAGTCTCATCAGGGACCCCTTCACCTTCCCCAGAACCAGACGAGGGCCGCCCAACCAGCCTCCCGCGTCCGTCCAGGTCTGCCTAGCCAGCATGGCCTCTGTGTGTGCAGAGACGGGGAACCGAGGTGCTCTCTGTGTCAGCTCAGTCCAAGCCCACAGGGCCCACCACGGGAGACAGTGAGCCCCCCTTGTTCTGGGGCATTTGAGACAGAGGCTGACCAGGCACCCGGGATATTCCAGAGGGGTTCGAGCCTTCCTGGCTTGGGGAACAGTAGCTGCACCTGTCCAGTGCTTGGTGTGCTCAGAGAGCCTGGCGGAGATGGCTGCGGACTCTCCTTCCCTTGGGCCTCGCAGGCCTGGGAGCTCAGTTTCACATGCTTGAATACTGCAGCTGGGCGAGCTGGAGTGACCGCTGGTGGCCAGGGGGACAGAAGTCCAGGGAGGTGGGATCGATTCTGCCTGGTCTGCTCAACGCAAAGGCCATACCTGGCTCAGTGTGAGACCCCGCGTGGCTTTCAGCTCAGGAAACTCAGATACTCTGATCTTCCCATCGTTAGGACACTTTGCAGGGGACCCCCCAAGCCTCTGCTGGTGGAAGCTGGGAGGGCACCTGCAGGGACCAGGGACATGGGCAGGTGGGAGTCTGACTGTACCAGGACACTCCATCATCCAGCGTGGGAAGGACAGGTGCCCCCTCCCGGGCTGGTCACTCTCAGGGAGCCTGATTCTTCTGGAGAGTGAGGTCTCATAGGTGGAGGGGATGGCTCTGCTTTCCTGGGGGAGAGTGTGTGTCGGGGGCTTGAGGACCTGTCTCTCAGCCTTTGCCTCACGTTGCCATGGCGGGGGCACCTTGTATACATGGCCGCGGGGGCCTGGGCTGGTGGATCTCGGTGAGTGACCGTGTGCTCACTCCAGGGGACCGGGGTGGGCCCTGTCGTCTTCCCAGGTATCTCAGGAAGTCTGGGAACAGCAGGAGAGCCGGCTCCTAATAGAATCGCTGGCCTGTGGTGACCTGTGTTCAAAGCTTTCTGAAAAGGTTAGTTGGGCTCTTGAACCAAACACCATAGAATTGGGAGCTACAATCCCAGTTGTGCGATTGCATCTGAGTTCTCTCATGGATGGTAAATTAGCACTACAGGAGATTTCACCCTTTACCATAAACTGGTTTTCTGAGAGATGATGGTGTTCTCATAACTTGGCTTTTAGAGACGCAGTGGATACTGAGTTGCTGCTAATTCCATCCTAATGGCCACGTTCTCGGATGAGAGCCCGCCTCCAGCCCAGCCCTGATGCAGGCAGCCACCCGCTCCCAGCCTGCCCAGCTACGTGCCAACATCGTGCCGAGCCCCCGTCACTCCCCAACCCCTTCCGTGCCGAGCCCCCGTCACTCCCCAACCCCTTCCGTGCCGAACCCCCGTCACTCCCCAACCCCTTCCGTGCCGAGCCCCCGTCACTCCCCAACCCCTTCCGTGCCGAGCCCCCGTCACTCCCCAACCCCTTCCGTGCCGAGCCCCCGTCACTCCCCAACCCCTTCCTGTGTGGCCGTTGCTGTTTACTTGTCTGTGTGGGCCCACCAGAGTGTGGGTCGCCTAGCACCGGTGCTGGGCCTAAGGGTGCTGCTGCCCCGTGCCCTGGCAGTGCCTGCGCCTCTGTGTGTGACACGTGGATTCAGGATTCGTGGATTAACCGAGTGTGGACCACAGGCACGTGCTGATGCTTCTGTTTCCAGGATCATTGCTTTTTTTGGGATGGAGTTTCGCTCCTGTCACCCAGGCTGGAGCACAAGGGCACAATCTCGGCTCACTGCAACCTCCACGTCCTGAGTTCAAGTGATTCTCCTGCCTCAGCCTCCAGAGTAGCTGGAATTATAGACGTCCACCACCACACCCAGCTAATGTCTGTATTTTTAGTACAAACGGGGTTTCACCATGTTGGCCAGGCTGGTCTCGAACTCCTGATCTCAGGTGATCCATCCGCTTCGGCCTCCCAAAGTGCTGTGATTACAGGCGTGAGCCACCGCGCCGGCCGGAGATCACTGCTTTTGAAAGTGCAGGTCGTCACCCCGTTAGTGGGTTGTGAAATTAATTTAATAGGTCATGACCAGCATTTAAAAGGAGGAAGGAATAGAATGAAAATGTGAGAGGGCATCTGTGTCAGGAGGGCGAGCGCCCGGTGACAAGGCCCGTGCCCGCGCACACACGGTCACATGGGAGAAGCCTTTCTCCTAGGTTGCCATGAAAGGCTGGAAATCCGCGTCCTGTGGGGACTCAAGAGAAACACCTCTGCAGTGCTTTTCCAGGCACTGCCTCTCAGCCAGCACTGCCCTGTGGACGTCCACTTGCCCCAGGCGAGGGGACCCTGGGTGGGTGTTGCAGGTTCTCCTGA